CAGCCCAAGATGATCTTGAACTTGTAATATTTCTCCCTCTACCTTACAGGCTCGAGGGTTACAGGTATCACTATCCCAGTTCTAAGATGATTTCTTACGATTTTTCTAAATCATCCCATTCCTGGCATTCACTACTTGTTCACGTGATGCTTCTAAGTCACAGCCCCCACTTCTCTTTATCTAATTCACTTTCATCTTCACCCCTGCCAATTATCTTAGTAAGCTGGTTCATGTACTTCTGTAGCCACACACCTTAGACAGAGACGGCACTGGACACATAGTAATGATCAGAAAAGTGCCGACAGTGTAATCCAATCATCTGTCAACATTCACGGGCATCTTGGTTTTTACACATCAGAAAACTACTTATTGACAACTTCTCAAATACCAGGCTTTGTATTAAACATTGATATGTGTTATTTCATCTAGAGAGGTGAAGTAGGTAGCGGAATATTTTTGAAAATGAAAGTGTTCAAAAGAAAAGGGAGAGACTAACAGACTTTGGTGCATCAAACCAGGAATGATTGGAGGCTTCTGATAGAATGGGACCAGTCATGATATGGTGATGGGGAAGAAGAGAGAAAAGAAACCAAAACCTCTCTTTTCACAAGATCCCCACTGGTTATGTCATTGCACTGGCCATCATGGATGTTTACATGTTGACTGTTCTGCCCTGGGATTGTCAAGGAACCTCCACTTAGGAGGCAGTACGTAACAGTGGGGGAAAGCAGTAACTCAGCCTCCAGTGAGTCCATTGTATTTGTTTGGTAGCTTTGTATGCCTTGTCCTGGTTCTGCACAGCATTGTATGTGTGGCATTAGACAAGCTGCTTCAATTCCTGTCTATAAGGATGATGCACCCAAACCTACCTCATAGGATTGCATAAGATACTATAGGCAAAATATAAACATATACAAGGGCTCCTTAAATGGCCCTCCTCTGCTGTCTTTCCCCATCAGACCTGAAGAATTTGAAAGTACTAGACATGGACAATCAGGAAAAGGTACTTCTCTTCAGCATTTCCCCATATTATAGAAAATTTCTTTCCTAGTGTTAACTGTTAGTTCTTAAGTATATTCTTGAAATACTTAACATTGTTTATTGATGCTTTACTCTGCAAATGTAAAAAAAAAAAGTTCATATAAATTGTTATTTCTCAATCATGATGGATAGTAACACAGTTATGAAATTCCAAACTCCCTGGTTTCAATCTCTCTACCAAAGTCACTAGAACATACTTTTGCAATTTTGCAAAAGAAGTACATTGTATAGAAGGAAATTAATTATTCTTTCTCAGTTTCGGCAAGAAGTACATTTATTATATGTTCAACAGAGTTGTATTCACTTTATCCAAATGAGAAATAGTTGAGAGGCTTCATTATATTCAGAGAACATTTTCATCAATCAGAGATTTAGCAGCCACCAAAAATAATTCCACAATTAATCTTTTATATCATGGGTATGACTTATAATCTCTACACTAAAAGTATTAAATATGACGGAAAACTGTTCATAAACCTTAATGTTCCTCAGCAAAGAAACACTGCTTTGTGTTTTTGAAGATATAAAGAATTTAAATGAAACTTACATGCTTGAAATTAGTGCCAGATGCAATACAATTCCAGTACAATTCACTAGAAGCACGGTATATTTCACTATGATTTACTAAAAAGTATTCAACAATTCTATGTTTCACTGAGATCTCAAGAATACAAGTATTTCATTCACAAAACACATGGCTTGGCAGGTTTCCAGAGTGGGAATTTTCTAGAGGGAAGATAAATTTATTGATTAAGATAAATCAAATAACTGACATTTTTCCTTAGAAAACTTGCAAAACATAAAATGCAGAAGTTGACATCTCACAGTTTGAAGCAGAACAAAACTCTGAGATATGACTTATGTTTATTATCAGGTCATTAGTGTCATAAGTAGATATTTAAGAATTTCATATTAACGTTGGGAAAACATATATGTAATTACATACATATACAAATGTGTATATGCTAATGATTATCTTTGGCGTTTTTTATCCATTTCTACCCAAGGTACATTAATATGCAGTAAATAATGAGCATTTGTGAATGGAATATGTACAGAGAAGTATTTCAGATACTAAACTATGCGTCACTTTTTTCCACCCCATGCTATGGCTTTTCTCCCTGTCTTCTCAACATTCTGGGTACGCATCTGCCTTTAGCAGTTGTTGTGGGCTTTCCCCAAATTCATGTTGAAGCCTTAAACCACAACACAGCTATATCTGGAGATGGGGCCCGAAGTAAGTTAAGTGCAATCAGATCAAAAGAGTGGGTCCCTTACCTGGAACCATTAATGTCCTTATGAGGACTCCAGAGAGCTCTCCTAAACAGGTCACGTGAGCCTACAAGCCAAGAGAAGAGAGCATGCTAGCAGACTTTACAGTATCCAGAGCGCGAGAGAGGCAGCGATTATTTAAGCTTCTCCATCTATAGTATTTTGTTATGGCAACTCACAGCAGACTAACACAACAATTAAGTCTCTCAATGCTGACAATTGCAAAGCCAGTTTTATATACTTTCTTAATATTTTAAGGATTTGAGCTGAAGGAAATCCCATTTAAAAGTCAGACAGTCTGCCGGGCGGTGGTGGCCCACGCCTTTAATCCCAGCACTCGGGAGGCAGAGGCAGGTGGATCTCTGTGAGTTCAAGGCCAGCCTGGTCTACAAGAGCTAGTTCCAGAACAGGCTCCAAAACCACAGAGAAACCCTGTCTCGAAAAACCAAAAAAAAAAAAAAAAAAAAGTCAGACAGTCTTGTTACTGGAGAGTTTTATATGAATCCTTGAATTGTTCAACTTTGTTTTCCTCTAAATCAGGGAACGCTTGAGAGGGGAACCTCAGCCATGCAAACTTATTAAATTAGGACATATCACTACAACATAAACTTGGCCTATCTTCCATGAGATATTGGAGGTTGTATGGTTGTACTAGGTGATTAAGTAGTAGGATTAACTACCTAATAATGCTAAATCCACTCATATTATTAAGTACAAACAAAAATTTTATACGTCAGAATATTTTTTGTGGGTTTTTGTTTTGTTTTGTTTTTTGAGACTAGATTTTTCTGTAGCTTTGGTGCCTGTCCTGGAACTAGCTCTTGTAGACCAGGATGGCCTTGAACTCACAGAGATTCTCCTGCCTCTACCTCCTGAGTGCTGAGATTAAAAGCGTGTGTCACCACCGCCCGGCCATCAGAATATTTTTAAAAGTCATTTGTCAATAATGTTAGTAAGTGAAAATTATTGTAGGTTAAGCATTGTGTACATTGTTTGACCTACAACTAACTCCTTTCTTTGAATAACTAAATACTTTGTATGGCAACCTAACTTAATAGTGCATTAGTATTCTTGTATCATGTTGCCGAGTGTTAGTCATACCACAGTAGCTGGCTTTTAGCCAGTCAGTGTGACAGTTGATCAGACCATGTTTACATTAGGTAAAGGCCCAGATTTGACCAAACACACTATTATATCATCTCTTTTCATATATATTGGTTTTTTTTTGAGACAGGGTTTCTCTGTGTGGCTTTGGAGCCTGTCCTGGAACTCGCGCTATAAACCATACTGGCCCAGAATTCAGAGATCTGCCTGCCTCTCTAGTGCTGGGATTGAAGGCGGGAGCCACCACTTCCCTACTTCTTTTCCTCGTCTTAATCTTAATCAACGGTGGAACTCTCTGAACTTTGACTGGATCATAGCCCTACTCCATTCACAAAAACAGCTGTTTGTTCAAATAAATTCTTGTTAAAGGCTTTGTATTTTGTGTGTGCATGGGCGCACAAGCGGGTTCCAGGGCTCCTGTAGAGTTCAGAAGACAGCTCCCACGCATAGCTCCACCTATCTTTTGTGCTCACTGGCCTGGAGCTGGCTGAGTAGGCTTGTCTGATTGGCTAAGGAGCCCCAAGAACCTGCTTGTCTGCCTCCTAGATGCTGGGATTACATGTATAGGACACTACCGCTGGCTTTTAAAATAGGGATTCTGGGGATTGAATGAACTCAGGTCCTCCTGCTTGCTAGGCAAGCTTTACACTGACTGAGCTCTCTCCCTCGCACTGTATTTTCTCAAATAACCACCACAAAAAAACCAGAAACATAATCTGATTACAGAACATTTCTTCAGAAAATGGAAGCACTTCTGAATTAGTCCTATACTCATCTCCGTCTCCTTGCCTGTTTTTATTGTCTTCACACGGTGATATTTTCAGATCTTTTCATCATTTATATGTCTCCAAGCCCATCATCAGAACCCGTACACTCTAACAACTCAGTAAACAAACTTCAGACCAGGGATGCTGAAGCTGGATCCGGGCAACCAGATGGTGAGTACCCAGAGAACAGGAATCGGATTGAGAATCACATGAGGCCTGGAACACAGTGAACACTAAACTATATACAGAACAAAAAAAAAAAAAAAAGAGCGAGGAAGCGAAGGAAAGAAAAGGGACTGATTAATGCAAACCCTGGAGACACCATCTACCATAATTCTTGATTGAAGTCAAGAAAGCGTCGAGGTCAGCACTTTCCTCAGCCAGATTCACCAGCGCAGGTAGAGTGAGGAAAGAACGAAACTTTTTCAAAAACAAAACCAAAAACCGAAAGTAAAACCCGCTGGGTCAAAAGAGAAAGACAGTGAGGAAAGAGCGGGGAAAAACAAAAACAAACAAACAAACAAAAAGAATAGCCTCCTCCTCCTTGCAGAAGAGCCTAGGCAGCTTGGCTGTTGCCTGGGCGACCACAGAGCCAGAACGGTCGCAGCCTATTGGCTGAGCCGTTTCAGCCAATGAGAAGGCACGGTGTTGCCGGGGTTCTAAGATGGCTGCCGAGCCCCTGTTTCCTGGCCGGTAAGTTAGGCTTCGCTAGGCTCGAGTTGGCGGCCGGCTTCGTGGCGGGCGGGTGGGCGGGCCTGTCGGGCTTGGGTTCTGGGCACGGAGGGCGGCGGAGGAGTCTGGGCAGCCGGGCCGCGCAGCTCCTCGGCGGGGACACCGGAGCGGGCCGGGAGAACTCGGCCGTGCCGGACGCTGCCCGGCCCCGAGTGGGCTCGTGAAGTGGCTACCGGGGGTCCCTGTCCCGTCCCAGGCCGAGCGAGGAGGAGCGGGCTCGTGGGTGCGCTCGGCTGTGTCGGGGAGAGCGGCTTCTGCTGATGAGTTCGGCGAGCCCCTCGGCGGCCCGGCGGGCATTCTGACACCGCTCCGCACCCCGAGGTGGCGCGACCCTCAGCGCCCCCAGTACCGCAGGGCTCCAGGTTGTCAGCGGGGAAGGCTGCACCGTTTTAGAGCCACCCTGGCGCGGTCTTGAACTTCGTAAGTGTTTGCACGGTGGCGAGCATTGCGTACAAGGTAGAGAGGCTCTGGGGGGCGGGGGAGGTAGTTTCCGTGTCCTGTCTGTAAACAAACATTGTCTTGGTTCAAACTCACCCACTCTAGGAAAGGAACAACAAAAAGAAATACCGCTAAGTAAATAGTGTATGTGAAATAAATTCGAACTCAGGCCCGCTTGTTTTCTTTCTGTGGTGTTTTGAGAAAAAAGAACACATTTTCTAGCAATAAATAAGACCTTTACATTAATGTTGATCTTTTAAGCCCAAAAGTACGTAAATTAACTAATTCCAAAGTTCATGAGCTAATTAAGTACTTTATTATGATATTGCAGATTAGACTGTGGTGTTATAATTATTTCACAAATAAGATTAAATTTATATGTCCGTGATTATTTAAAATTGAAGACACAATTTGTGATAAAACATGGTCATTTGATGATATTGCAGTTTAAATTCTGGCATATTAGAGACAGGAAATGCTTATCCATTGAGATGTTCAAATTTTTATCTTGGTTATTGCTTGTTAGTAGTTGGGTGGTCTAGAAAATACATTTCTGGTGTTTCTACGTGTGATTCTCAGTATGTTACTTGCTGTGATATCTTGCCTGGTTTTTCATATGTAAAAAGTGCAGAAAAATTATTAGTAAATTTTAGCAGTCTTATAATTACAGCCTAGAGTCATTGTTTTGGCCTGTCTCCCAAATCTTTGTCCCAAGAATACATCGCTAACTTTGCCCTCTAAAAGTCCATAATTGACTCCACTTTTGTAAAATAAGTGGATCTCAGTGATTTAGGGCAGATATTAAAGGGTTGGTGTTAATTTCTAATGAGTGTCGTGATGAGGATCAATGCCTGCCTCTTGGTTTGTGTGCCATGTGGGACATAGCATGCTTTGATTTTTTCGCTACTGCTTTGTGTCTTTTGTTGTAACTGGGTGTCCTGTCCCTTTTCAGTGGCCTGGGTGCACAGCCTCTAAAAGCTGGTAACCTTGACTGGGTTGTGAGTTGAGGAGAGAAACTGCATTTACTGACAACACGTCATGATGTAAACTAAACTACATTCACATCAAAGAGCGAGGCTGTTCTGGGTATCTGGGACACTGTCAGTATTAAGACAGTAAACATTTCAAAGGTGTGAGACATCTCCGTGGTAACTGATCACACTCTCACTTCAAAGCTTAGTTAGGATGGGGACCAAGGCAAAAGCTGCTTAGGCTGGAAGTCATCTGAGTTTCAAGCGTATTCTTGCTCTTGTAACTAGCGGTCTCCAGGTCTGACACAAGCTAGAACTTCTGTTACTGAGATTTGGTATCGCTATGGTTTCTGTATTTTGGGAGATGATATTTACTAAACCTTTTTTCATATTTTATAAAAATTAAGTTGTATAGTCAACATCTCTGGTTACAATAGAAGGATAACGCTTCATTGGATTTAAGTTTTCTTACCTAGTGGTAGATTATGCTGTGCTACCAGGAGGAAAATAAATAATTTTGATTTAAAAAAAATACTGATAATTAGCTTAGTGAGTTCCAGTGCATTCATTATAAAACTTTGTAAAAAAAAAAAAGAAAGAAAAAAAGAAAAAGAAAAGAAACAAACCCACAGATTACCAGCCGCCAAACCACTTGTTTTAAATGCATTGTTTTCAGCCAGTGTGTGTTCAGTATGGCTATGGTTGTTTTTTGAGGGTGAAAGAAAGCCCTTTTTATTTAGACTTGGAACAGTGCAGAAATGCATCAGGTCATAGCAAATGATGTCTGCCCAGAACTAAAAGATGTGTCTCATTTTGTACACAAAATGGTTTGTAGGATGGAATAAACCATAACTGCAGTGGTGATGAGTATATGGAATGAAGGTGATGTTTGAAACCTTACAGAAAAGGGGAGTTGTAGCTCATTTACATCTTCCTTGAGACTATCATGATTAAATTAAATATTAGTGAGTTATAGGCTAAAAATTGAAAGCTTACAAAATAATTCATTGGCTGTGCTATGGGCCTGGCTGTAATCTACATAGAAGAATTTGCTTTCTTTCTGTTTGTCTGTTATTCTACATCTTTTGAGATTGGACGAGTGAATTTTCTCAGAGACTAATTTAGGATTTTCTCCCTTAAAATAAAGATATATATCCTGAAAGGAATGAAAGAGACACTTCAAAGAAATAAAGAATCTCCCTTCAAAGAAGCCCAGCAGGAGTAGCAGGCGGCCAGGGAACCATATGAGTGACACACAGTGAAGGAAGCAGCCTCTCCATATTGGTAGGTTTACATTGGGCTGCTGCTTTAAGGGATGGCTCCATTTTGCAGACTCTTTTTTCCAGCAGTTACCTGGGTTTATCAGCAGAAACCTGAATCTCCTTTACGTCTGTTTATGTTTTCTTTTTGTTTTGTGCCGCCTCCCAATATCACAGTTAACTGATGTGTGGCTTAAGATTTTTAAGTAGTAAATTTAAAAAATATACTTCATTTGAATTTTTTGTTTTGAATTTGGAGGTTCTTTTAACTTTTCTTCTTTCTTCAGGTACATTTAATATACTATCAAGCTAGGAAAATACCATATTGAGGACAATTTTGGAAGCCATATGAGCAGTAGATAAAGTAATTTTGAAAAAGGTCAAAGAGCCATGAAAACTGGATAGTTGTCTGAAAACTGACAAGGAAAACCATAACTTCTGTAGGGTAACTGAGACTGCTCTCTGTACGGAAGCACATGTGAGTGCCCAGCATGTAGATTGTGAAACTCCCGACATACTGAAACAGAGCTCTGCTTGTAGGGGCACATGCTTTCTAAGTGCAGGCTGAGTGACATTTCCTTGCCATGGGGTTAGCCTTGCTCTGTGAAGCTCCAGAGCCTGTCGTCTTTTGTGTGCTTCTGTTCCCAGACTCTTACAGAATGTCTAGCATGCAATAGAAAATGCCATGGGTGTACTTTCTATAGTAGACACCCACGCATTCTTTAAAAAATGTCTGAAATTTGTTACCGTTTCAGTACCCTTTTACAGATAATGAGCATAAAGATGTTTTGGAGGCTGTTACTACTCCATTCGCCCTAGTGGCCTATTTTACCGAATATCTCAAGAATCCCTTTATTTCAACTTTTAAAATATACACACGAAGTTCAGGAGTAGATGCAGGTTTTATAAGGCTGAACACATATAACTTGGGTCTTTACTTGGAGTTGAATGTAAATTCTGGATAGAAAATTATACATAATGGTTAGAGAAGACCTTTATAAATAAAGCATATTAATATGTGAGTTCCATTAATGTTCTGGTAATCTGCCTCTTGTTTTATTGCCCTGTTCAGAAGCCAAATACCAGGCTTATTTTTAGAAGCTTCGTGTCAGGCTATGGAGATCAGGGAGGAACATGATTTATAACAGCTGATAAATGAAGCACCACAAATATCAGAAAATTTAGAGGTATCTTACGGGCCCTACTATCCATATTAGGAATGATAAAATGCATTTCATGGCCACAGAAATAATAGCGAGAGCCAATGCACATTTGTATTTTGATGCATGGTTCAAGGTTATTTTTTTAGAAAAAAAAGATTTTCACCACCAAACATTCACTGAGCCCCTAGAACCTCCTGAACTGAATGCTCCTGAGTGTTGTATCTCATTTAATCCTCAAGATAATCAGTGTGATTATCTTATCCTGTGCTTAGGTGAAGAAACCGAGGGTCAGAGTTGTTAAGTGATGTTCTTCTGCCTAAGTGGAACTGGAGTCAGGAGTCTAGTTGGGGTTCTCTTAAAAAGCCAAGAGAGTGTTTCAGAAAATCAAGTACTGGTAAACCTGGCCTAAAAAATGTACAAACACAAACCCTTTTCTTTAAATCTGAGAGGAGGTCCTTACATGAAAGCAGACGTATGTAATTGAGATTAATGCAAAGATCCCTGATACCTGGGACCTGAAAAGAATGCGGTTGGTTTTCTTCCTAGAGTAATTTTAAAATAGGACAGGACTTTCAGCAAGGCAGCTTTCTGTTCTACTGGTCCTTCTGAGTGACGACGAATCTTGAGAGATGTAACTGTTTTTGGATTCATTTGTATGAAAAAATGGTCTGTGCTATGGAAATGAAATTTTCATAATCTTGGGAATGATTACACTAATTCTAAAAGTCATTTTCATGAAACTTAATGATTATACTAATGGCTATAACAGATATTGTTGAATACTGTACTGAGATTTTGTTTCCCAAGTACATAGTATTATTATTCAGAAAAGCAGAATGCTTGTTAGGTTTTAGAATTACATTTCATTTGGTTTATTTCAGCAGTGTAAAATTTAAAACTAGGGTATCTTTTCCACCTACCACACCTTTTATTTACTAGTAACTTTTTACACTTATTCTGTGTGTGGATGTGCTTGCATACACACAGGTGGAGGTCAGAGACATCTTACAGGTGTTGTTTTTCACCTACCATGTACAGGTGAACTCAGGTCATGGGGTTTGGCAGCAAATGCCTTTACTTGCTGAGCCATCTTGCTGCCCATTCTACTGCACCCTTTAAACATATGTATGCAACTTAAAGTTTTTTTTCTTTGTCAGCCTGATTCTTAGACAATAAGCCTTTTGAAAGTTAAATGTGCTTCATATAGATGATGCGTCCACCCATTTTGTTCGTTAATGAGTACAACGTGAAGCACGGTATTTTAAGCCTTAAGCTGGCTGTGATGTTTCATACGTGTATATATAGTCACTGCACTTAGGAGCTGAAGCAGGAGGATCTTTAGGAGTTTAAGGCCAGCCTGGGCTCCAGAGTAAGGCGCTGTCTCAATAAAAGAATGACAAAATAAAATTTTAAAAAGTACGTTGTTTTAAATTCCTGCAGAGTGTTTTGTTAAGTGTGTGACATTCTTGAGTGGTGTGTGCTTTACTGTTACTGTTTCAGTTAAGCGGAATAACCCACACTTTAGAGAATCAATATTCTGCTTTGTCTGAAGGTGTATGTTGTAACATACTTAAACTGTTAGATAATTTTAAACTTTTTTTTCCGACTTATCACAACTGATTTTAGCTATTTTATATGGAGGGTTCATCTCATTTTAGATTTTAAAGTTTAAATTGACTGTTCCTCAGTCATTGGTAGATATACTGGTCTCCTGGGATATCTGTTAGTGGTTTTAAAATAGTTTCTGTGGGTACTATTTGAAGTAATTTTTCCCTTTCTCCTTCTAGAAGAAAAGATGTGGAGTGGGCTGTTACCTCCTGGGCTAAATGAAAGCGATGTTGAGTCAGATTCTGAAGATGAAGCCACACTAGAGAATCCAGAACTTACAGAATTTAATTTACAGGAAGATGGAAAGACTGACAACAATAGCAAGCCAAGAATGTCAGATTTCCCAGCAGGCAAGCCAAAACCGGAAACAGCGGCTGATGCAAATGCATATGAGAAGTGTCCTTCTGGAATTCCCTTGAACGTGTGGAACGTAGGTTTTCTTATTATTGTCAGGAAAGTGCGTGTTTCCAGAATTCCCTGAACATATGGAGTGTAGGCTTCCTCTGTGTTCGGAAAGTGTGTGTGTGTGTCCTCCGTGGCTGTGCTGTGTCAGAGCATGTTGTGATGGAGCAGATAGCAGGGGGCTCATAATAGTTGCTGCTCATTTAGCCGTTTGGATACTCTGATTCTAGTTTTAGTTTACATAAGTAGAAGAAGGAAAATGTCATAGGATTATCTGCTCTACTTTGCCTAGCATGGCAAATGAATTTCTTTCTTTTTTTTCTTCATTTAATTATAAATCATTTAGTGTCATTCTCTGTTATCAAATAGCTTGTGTTAAAAGCAGTGAATATTCCAATTCACCTGAGTTGTGAGGACTGGAGTATGTATCCCAAGAGCAAATTCCTTAGTTGGTGACTTTAGAAATGGCAGAACATAAGGATTTTACTTAACACATTTTACATGTTAAAATGTATGTCTTTAACACACACCCATACTATTTTTTTCTTTTTATATAGAAATTCCAAGAATTGCATAAAAGACATTCTGAACAGAAAAATTCAACATCAAGATTCAGACAGAAAAAAAGAAAACGCTCCAAAAAAGGTGTTTATTTTTAAATTTAGATTGTTAGTTGTACTAACTCTAAATTGACTAGTTGGGATAATTTCTTAAAACATGATTTTGAAATAATAGCTGAATAATTAAATATTCTAAATTCATTTTAGGCAAATTGAAGAATGAAAAAGAATCCCACAGGTGGGTGGAATTTAAACTAGTTACTATTCAGCAGTGTTGTGGAACTTTCTTGATTGCTGTACTACTTACCTTGATAATGATTAAACATGAAAAGTAGTCATTGAAGTGTAATTATTGCAACTAGTTAAAAATAGTCAAAGCAAAAAGAGTCATAATTTGTCTTAATTTATCGTCTTGCAGTGAACAGTCCTCAAGTGAAACACAGTGGAAGGAGCTTACTCAGTACTTTGGAGCCAATGATAGATTTGAACCGCCGGTTAAACAGAAAAAAGTTGAGAAAGTAAGATCCATCTTCTTATTTATCTATAATTCCATCGTATATTAGCCAGCAGGATGTATTTGCTGTTAACCTTGCCTAAGATACTAGTTCATTAATTATATAATTAGAAACTGTGTTCGAAAAAGATGCTTGATAAACAAGTGGATACCTAGTTTAAAACTCTTCAGAAGAGTAAGTTGTGAAAATATCATTGTGAGGGCCTCACTCTTTTTGCCTTGGGTGAAGAAAGCTGTTCTTGCAAGAGGCCCTTTCACTGAGACCTGAAGGGTGGTGAAAGGCAGTGTACATAAATAATGCTCACTGGGAGGCTACGTGAAGGTGAAGACCCTAAAGGAGGGGTTAATGGAGAACTTTGCGGGTTTTGGTGAGAAGGTTAGGCTGGCTGGAATGGAGTCAGTGAGGAAGAGTGTAGCTCAAGACTCACGATAATCTTACAGAACTGCCGGGGAGCAGGTAGGAAATGGACTTTATTTACAGTGCACTTGGATTTTAAGAGAGTGATGGGATCTAAGTTAAGTTAAAGATTCCCTGTCTGTTGGCATGGAGAACAGATGGTGATGTAGCAAAAATAATGAGAAAACAGCAGACTAGGCACAGGATAATGGGCTGTTGACTGACAGTGGTATTGATGAAGATGGAAAAAATGTGTGAGTGCTTTCATGTTTTAATGTGAAGGTAGAATTGTCATGTTTTTCCTTAAGTGAGTTAGAAAGTTGAGAAAAATCAGGAAGAGAAAAGATTGAGAGTAGACCTATTCGCAATTCTGTTTGGGGCATAAGTGTTAATCAGAATACAAGAAAAGAGTAAATAATTGCTTAGTATGAGGTGGGGGCTCAGAGCAGTGTCTGAGCCTGAGGTATTATTTATAGTTGTTACTCTTTAGAATTAGAAAAGGCCTTGAAGGAATAACGCACATATTCATGGTGGGGGTGGCCAGTGGTGTTGGGAGAGTCTAAGATAATGAGAATCCTGTGTTCCGAGGTGGGGTTAGAGGCCTGTGGGAGCAAGTGGGACCTATGTGTCTTGTGCTTGCTTTAAGGAGATACCTTTACATGGGTTACTGCTGAGTACTATGTACCTAAAGACCTTTGCTGTTTTCTGATTGGTTGGTATTTCTCATAAAAAACCTTTCATATTAAATCCTTAATTAGGTGGTGATATTTCACTGAGAAGATTGTAAATTAAGGACCTTTCACAACAAATTTTGTATGTGTTATGTTTGGAGTTTTGTTCTGTTTGAGATGAGAGGTCTGGTTATGTTGCCCAGGTTGATCAAGTGATCCTATGGATTCAGTCTATGACTGGGATCATAGTCACAGCATCCTTCATGTGGCTTTTTCTAATTCCAAAATAGTCCCTATTACACCAGGTACTTGGCCCTGGGTTCATTTTCTGCACGTACTACTGAGCAGTAACCTTTAAGCAGATACAGAAATAATACATTTCCCACAAAGCCCAGTGGTAGAGTTGCAAGTAAAATCAGAGTCATAAAACATTGTGTTGGTGCTTTTGGGGGGGTTCACTGTGATAGGTAGTGCATTTCTGGACACGTTTTTGTCATGATCTTGACTCTTGTGGTTCATGTGTGCAGGGAGCAGTCATGTGACATTGACTTAAGTTGCTCTTGACTGCCAAATCTGCCCTGAAGCTGGGAGGAAGACTTTGTTAACTGCCCTGAGCCATGAGGCGTCTCTGGTAGACCTGCTGTGGAGTCCCAGCCACTGACTGGATGAGCTGTTGAATGACCCTTTCATAGGAGTCGCCTAGGACCGTCAGAAAACACAGATATTTTACATTATAATTCATAACAGTAGCAAATTTTCAGTTATGAAGTAGCAATGAAAATAATTTTATGGTTGGGGGTCACCACAACATGAAGAACTGTATAAGAGTTGTAGCATTGGGAAGGTTGAGAACCACTGGACTAGATCCTTCAGTGCATGAATGATTAAGTATTAGTTTAATTATTTTTTTTAAACATGTGAACTAAATTGCCTTTGATTTTTCAGTTATTTGCAATATTTACTATCTTCCATATTGGTATTGGCTTCAAAGTATCTAATTGATAAGAGACATTAAAGTCATGAAATTAATTTTGTAAACATTCTAAAAAGCAGAGATTAAGAGATTTTTTTTTACAACTTACTAGAATCCTGTTGTTACCCTATTGTTTGAAGTTGTACCGTCTAAATATTGGCTAGATACTTTTAGCTCTTACGAAGTTACAAGGGTTGTTCATAGTATCGTTTGAAGAACTCCATCTTGAGACCTAGCACCTTGTCTCACCATGCATTACATGCATCCTAGAGAAACCAGAACAGCAGTTTAAAGTGTGAACTCTATTGAAGAGAAATTGCTGTGAGCCTGACTAGTCACAGGTGCATTCATTTGGAAAGTTTGGGCTTTTTTCCTGCAGATACTGCCCTGCATGAATGGTGAGGAAAGTTATGGGTTGTCCAATCAAGGAAACTGTTGTTGGCCAGACTTATATTTTGCCAGCATTTATTAGTCTACAAGTAAATGTAAGCATGAAAGGAAAGAAAGGGTTTAGTAAAGCTGAGTTATTTCAGCTTCTCTTGGGAGTATAACTGCATGCCGGCAGTTCTGCACTCACTTTGTAGGGTTAAGACAGCCCCTTTAGGGGGCGGGGTTTGCCTCGGGGGGGGGGGGGGGAATGCCTACAGATAAATGGGCGCGAGGGAGGTGGCTCCGCCCTTTCCTTCCTACCTCTTGTGCCACAAGGGAACTTCGGTTCTGTAAGTTTATCATTAAAGTGGTAAATATTCTTTAATATCTGTATTGCATTTATTTACGCCGGTACATCACTTTCTCGGTTGGGATCATGGTTTTTACATGATGCTGCTTTTGCTGTCCTGCCGAGGTCGTACTGTGAGTCCAGCAAAGCAAATAAACTTTAAAAAGGAAAAGCAAAATGTCCACATTGGAGACATCGTGATAAAAGCTATAAATAACTTTAAGTCCAGCAGATAGTTAGGGATCTGGTAGCACTGTGTAGACGTGTGGTGCAGTGTAAACAAATATGGATTTCCAGTCTATCATTTTATTCTCTGGAGCAGAGGCTGATCTGTCTCAATATCAGAAAGTCTTTTTATTTTGTTTTCGCTCAATCCTCAAGAACAGTAAAGCAAAACAAAACTTCTTAATCTTATGACTATCACCCCCGCCTTGGAGTCCTGCCAAGCAAAAACTGGCTTAACCCAGAATGTCTATCACAACACTGCTGTCACCTGCCTGCCAGACAGTGCAGAGAGGCTTGCATTTTTTAAAATATAGTCTTCCTAATGTTCAACACTGTTTTAAGGTGTTCATTGTATTAAACGCAGATATCATTGTGTTTCTGGCAGCAGTTAATGGGGCTTGTTAGTAATTCTGTAATTATAACATAATTATTTTTAATCTATGTGGGAATTTCTTCAAAATAAATTTTGCCCTTTAGTTTTACTATAAATATCTCAAGTATTCTATAGTTGACTCAGTTTTATTAGGTAGCTGTCATTATTGAAGTAGTAGTCCTGGGTATGTCAAATGGATACTTTTGGTATGAAAACTACAGGTACTTTTATTATTTTTTAGAATCACTGTCCTTGATGTTTGTATAAAGTTGTTCAACTGTTACTGCATAGAATATCTTTTTCACACTTGTTCTTTCTGTGATAGAGTACTTTTTCCACCTAGACCTTATGTGGAACTCTAGTATATAGATCACATCAAAACCTGACTGCCTTGACTATGTTGGGAGGGAGATAACAATCATGGTGTTTTCTTATCCCCATAGTGATCTCTGTAGGGAGGGCCAGTGTTAGTCTTCTGATATATTTGCATTAAAAAACAAACAGCAGGTAGGTTTAAAGTCTTACTTTAAACTTTTTTTGGTTGTCAGTCTAAATTTTTCTAAAGTAATAGATAAATTTAGTTTTTAATTTCTCTGAATTCTGTATGATTTATGTATAATATTTAACTTATGTTTATATTCAAATGTTGTTCCCTCCTCTTCTTTATGGAGAAATTGCCTCATTTTGCTCCTAGAGATTTAAATTATATCATAATTAAGCAAATTCCCAAAAATAATTTATTTTATCATGCTTTAAAGATTGAATATATTATCCAAATAAACATTTAGCATTGAGATTTGTGGAGAAATATATTGTGATGCTGTTGGCCTTAAAGAGCTTTAGTCACAGAGATATCTTATATGCGCATGTGGGTTGAGCCCCTGACGTCAAGTGCCCATGAAGTCCTCACACCTGTTTGTTGTGCCATCTTGACAACTGTAGGACAGCTTTATTGATTAGACGTCAATTGTTGTCTTACGGGAACCTGTTATATAGGTGCCCTCAGGTAAAATACCCACTTGTGGGTAAATTGCCATTCCTCTGTATACCTGCTCTCTGAGATAAGTCTCACTTGAGTAAAAAGTGTGAAGAGTGTACCAAGGCACTGTTGCTGTCAATATTACCCTTCAGCTCCAGTTGGTCTTCTGTGTGGAAGATCCTGTGTAAATCAGAAGCTACATTGGGACCTGTCTGAAAAATCTTAAAAAGCTTGGATACTTAAATCTTGTTTGATGAGACAATTTACTGACCCAGAGTCAAGTTTTTGATACTTTTATCTGAGCCCCCAAAGAAGTGTGATGAGGTGTGTAACCTGTCCTGGAAGTCACCTGATGTTAGAGATAGAGGAACCAGTAACACCACTGGGTGATTACTGTAATCTAAATATTAGCTAAATAGTTCACATGTATTTTCTTGACCCTCATCATCATTTTGTAATGAGCACAGCTTTATATTTACTTGACATTAACGAAAGAACTTCTGCCATAGAAGTTTAGAGACCCTCCCCAGATTGCTCAACTCTTGGGTGGAAATTCTAGTTCATTTGACTTTCTCAGCAGAGTTTTTGGCAGAATGATATTTTCTTATGTTGAAGGGAGTGTTTATAATACAAGAATTTTGAATGTCTCTAAATACAAAATTTTTATAGCTAGGCATCTTACATAGATTATGCCTGTAAACTCAGGACTCTGGAGGTTGAGGCATGAGAAGTGCCATAAGCTCCCAGACCGCCTGGGTACAGCGTGAGATCCTGTCTCAATGAAATTGAAAAGAAGAAAAAGACAAAAGTACTGTATGAAAGAAGAAAACAAACTCACTGTGTAGACCAGGCTGGCCTTGAACTCACAGAGATCTGCCAGCCTCTTGCTATCCTTTGCTGGGATTAAAGGCATGTGCCACCATGACCTTCAAGGACCCTGAACTTCTGATCCTTCTGTATTCACCTCCCAAATGCTGGGATTACAAGTGTGTGTCATCACTACTCCAGATTTAGTGCAGTGCTAGGGATTAAACCCAGGGTTTCCTGTATTCTAGGCAATACTACTAAGGGATGTTCCTATTCTGGTTTAATTTTAAAGTGAAACTTAACCTTATGTTTAAGCTCAGCAGTTCATAGGAGTTTTCCTTTCCCTTGGTGACATTCAGTGCTGAGCTGTAGCTCTGTGTACCAGAGGGACATTAACAAGTTGATTCAGTAGAATGGTTCAATAGGTGGAGGTAATTCGAGTCTAAGAATCTTTGGGTTACTCTGGGCACTGTATACAGAAGGCAACGCCCAGCCTTTCCAATCTCAAGAGCCTAGGGTAGTGGAAGGGAGCACAGCTGCTGTGCATCACAAACATGTCTGAAGAGAGGATCAGTGGACAGGTTCCTAAGGTGAAAGAGTGGAGCTTGTCTAGGTGATTGTTTGGGTAATACTGAATTGAGGTATCTGGTTACCTCAGTCCTTGTGATAAAAGAAAATTGAATTTGATATTAATGTTTACTTCATCTGTCTCAGAGGCATTTTGAGGAAATCTCTTGTTCTGCAAAGTGAGTATAGGCTGTTGTTTTAGCATTTTGTAAATAAATAGCTTCATTTCCATTATAGATTAAATATGAAGTTCTAAATGGAGAATATAAACTTCTAATTGTACTACACTCTGGGAGCTCAAGATAAAGATACCCTTGAGCCCAGAAGAAATACAGAAGCCAGAAGTATCAAATCCTCTGGAACCCGATGCTGGTACTGGAGTCTGAACTGTGGTCCACTGAATGGCAGCAGTATTCCTTTCTGCTGAGCCATTGGTCTCTAGCTCCAAGAAATACATTTTTATTTGTTGCACATAAATTTGTATAAATAGGCATGACAGTATGTTACCCCTTTTAGACTGAAATGGTATCATTACTTCAGTGTTACACTTGTGGAATTCTTATCTGGGGCTACCAGTGTGGGTGGGTTACTTCAGTATTAATGCAGACGTGGATTATTGTACTGCAACGTTCAGTGCAGTAGGATAGGCTGAGTGAGTGCCTCCTGTGTGCAAGAACTGGGTGGGATTTTGGAATACTAAAAAGATGGGAAAGGTTTTTGTTTGTTTGTTTTTAAAGGGAAGTGTGTCAGAGGCAGTAGGAACATTAATAAGATGGCACTTGTGGCTGGAGATTATTAATTATAACAATGCCATAGATGAGGCTAAGAAAGAGTTATCTGGATAAACCTGGTAGCCTGGTAGTTTATTTGCATTCTGGCAAATGATCCTTACCTTAGCTCTTTGCATGAACCCAAATAATAGATTTTTGATAAGTGTATGGTGAGTCCTACTTAGTTTGGTAATTTTATGACATTTAGAATTTTGATTTCTTGAAGTATTTTTATAATTAAAACATTTGCATAGTAGATTCGCACATTGGCAGGAAAGAACTGGTACATAGATCTCAGTTGGAGTGGCACAGGCTTAGAGTAGACAGAGTTGGCTTCCTGGAAATGAAAAGAGTTGGGAAAGAGTCTGTTGTGTTATCTGCATCAGCCTGAGAACAGTTCTACAGAGGACAAGGCAGGGAAGATCTGGAGATTGTACAAGAGTAGAAAATGGCATTAGAATCGTGTGGCCTAAGGTAGAGATAACAAAGGGTTGTTAGTTGAATGAAGGTCTTCAGCTGCTGTGGAAAGCAGCTTGACCACCCAGGTTCTCAGATGGGATTGTGATACAGGAGTCTTTTTATGTCAGACATCCAGGGAGATGCTCCGTGGCCTCTGCTTCCAGTTTGTTGATTTTTGGTGGATTATGTTGTAGTTTATAAAGTCTTCATTTCAACATCAGTATAGGAACAAAATCCCTCTGTTGACTGCTGTGATCTGATGGTGGAAGAGATTTTCTTAACACTTTTGCTGTTATATGAGGAGGAGGAAGTTTGTATGAGGTCCAAGATACACTGTGTTGAAATGAAGGGATAGGGGGTAGTTGTTAGAATAAAATTGTCTTTCAAGAAGCACATTCTAGACCACTTAAATGTTTTATATTCTGAAGTAACAATTCACAACTAGACCTTGTTTATATCATGGTGTCTTGATAAACCCTGCCTAGTTTGGTGATTTCATGACCTTTAAATGTTTGATTTCTTGAAGCAGTTTTAGTAAATTAAAATATTTCCATAGGAAGATAATAAAAATAATTGTTATTTCTTGCTTTCTTCTGTGTAGTCAGCATAATAGCCCTGTTTGAAGATGGCGAGAGACTTGGGAGTGAGAGTGTTGAGCTGTGGGAATGGGCTGTTGATGAGAACTCAGAGTTTGTGCAAAGCTGAGTGTGGGATGACTTTACAACTTAAAGATGCATGTCAGCCAAGTAGCAATTTATGACTGTTTCTACCTCTTGCAAACAAGCTAGCATTGAATGACTGTTATAAGGATGCAATGACAGCTTTAGAAGTATTAGCCCCCAGGTTCTACCATGTGGTAAGTGCTCCATAATTTTGAATCATTGCTGTAATTAACTTTGCCATTATTAGGGAATAGCAGTCTTTTGTTCTACACCCCCCTCCCCATCTAAATTTGCATCTTCATTTACTGTTAGCTTGAGAAATTTGGGGACCTTGACTAGTCACTGAATGTTTCAGAAATGTTTTATCGATAAATTGAAATTGATGCAGGCCTTTATAGGGTTATTGAGAGGACTGAATGGATGTTGCATTTGCTATAGTCCTGTGACATAGTCTTAGTTAGCAAATGATTGACTTTCTTTCCTGGCCATAATTTGTTTTTGTTTTTGTTTTTTTTCTTTCTTTCTAGTCAGGCCTTGAAAAGAGGATAGACCAGGCTGTGGAGGAATGGGATGTTGAGAAGGCTGAAGAGCTCAGCAACCAGCTAGCTACTCGAGAGGTAAGTCAGACTGATTCTGATTTTCTTTCTGCTCTTATTCTTTTCTCCCTTCCTACTGTTTGTTTTGAAATGATAGGTTTTGTGCTGACGTTAATGCTTTAAATTTATTCTGATCTAAAATGTAGGCTGAAAATTATGCATAATTGATATGTTTTGTTTCGTTTTCCAAGACAGGGTTTCTCTGTAGCATAATTGATATTTGACCCTAGTTTTACCTGGCTTCAGCAGGTTTTTTGTTTTGTTTTGTTTCATTTTTTGCTTTATTTTGTTTGAGATTGGTATTGTTTTTTAGGTGTGCTTAGAGGAGCACCTTCGTTTTCCTTTTGTGTCTAGCTCAGTTGATCCTCACTGAGACAGCAGTGCTCTGCACTCACAGCCTGCAGCCTTTTCATAGTCTTTAAAAATAATGGGTCACATTATTCTGAGTATAATGTTTATACATGTGTGTTAGTGGCTAATATAAAAGAAATTTCAGAGTTATGGATATTAAGGGTATTAGGTAGAAATAACATAAATGACAATTATATAGCTTTGAAAAAAACAAAAAATAAGTTGACATTTTAATCTGGGTGTGGTGGTTCTTGCTTGTAATGCAAGCATTTGGGAAGCTGAGGCAAAAAGATTACTCTGATTTCAAGGCCAACGTAGGTTACAGTGTGAGACCCTATTTCAAACAAAACAGACTCTGACATTTTGTGAATTGTTGTATTGTGGTAAAGTACAGTAGAATTTATGCTCGTAGATACTTTGAGTGTGTAAATGAGTTACATCAAAGACAGTCACAGTGCTGTGCAGTCTCTCACTACTCAGTTCCAGATTTTTTTTTTTTTTTGCAAAACTGAAACTCTGCAACTTAAACCATTACTCTGCAATTTCCTCTTCACCCTGCTTTGATATCACGTCACTTTGCCTCTGCATTCAGTTGCTATAGCTGCTTCATATAAGACATCACTTATGCTTTTGTGTCTAGTATATTTTGTTTGGCATAACTTCTTTAGTGATCACTGTGTTGTAGTGTATGTCAGAATTTTCTTCCATTTCAAACTGATTGATACTCTGTCTCATTTGGGGTATTTGTGCCATTGTTTGTACATTGAATTGATACTCTGTGTCATCTGGGATACTGGTGCCATCAGCTGTAAGTTGAATTGATACTCTGCCTCATCTGGGGTACTAGTGCCATTGTCTGTACATTGAATTGATACTCTGTCTCATCTGGGGTATTCGTACCATTGTTTGTACATTGAATTGATTCTCTGCCTCATCTGGGGTACTCTGTACATTGAATTGCTGGTAGACAGTGCTCCCACAGTTTGTTGTGAACCATGCTACTGTAAATATGAGCACACTAGCATCCGTTTGAATCCTTGTTTGAACTTCTTTTGTGTATATATATATCCAGAAATAGAATTACTACATTATTTAAGAAAAAAAATAAATGCATGTCAGGCATTTGGTATGTTTTTAATTTGTGAGGGTACTATGACTTAGCATAGCCATCAAAGCTTTGATACGGTTACCTGGTAGTTGAGCTATGAAATATTCTTGTTTGCTTTTTCCTTAAAAGGTAGTCTTCTCTAACCGTCTTCTAGTACTCCTTATGCTTACAGTTTGACAATTGCTCTAGTTTATAAAAGAGTGCCATATTTTGATTAAATGTAGTGCTTGTTAGATACAATAGTATTTCATTACAATTTCGAAGGGGAAAGATAAAGTTCATTTAATAAAATGAACTCGAAGGTATGTTAAATTGTGCCCCAAGTTCAGTCGCATTTCCTGTTACCTGTTGGTTATCTGTGGCTTCTTCAGTGGAAATAACATCCCTATATGTCAATCTATTCTACCAGTTAGTGAATGTCATCTTCAGGTTTTGACAGAGTGGTCACAGAAACAGGGAATGGTGGAGGAGAACTGCCTGTGGGCTTGGACAGGACCTCAGGGGTTAGATGTCTGCCCTGACTCGTGGGACTAGGGAAGAGTAGGATCTAGGGATGCTTTCGGGGACTGGAAACCACACAGGGCAGTAGTAGCCAACCAGTGGGTTGAACTCTAGTGGCAGCTTAGTGTGGATCAGGAATGAAACCTTTGAGGGAGCTGGTGCTAACTGACTGTATCTCTGCTGAGGAAGTCACTCACCCTGTGCTACTTGTTGGTGGGTGTCTTTTGAATGGCTTGAAAGGTTCCAGGGCTGTTTTGTGTTGGTTTGGTTGCTGGTCTGGGTTTGGTGGAGAGTAGTAGTAAAACCCAAGGTCCAACTTAAGAAAACCTGCAGGACTGTAGTGTGCGGTCGCCTGCTGATTTTTAGAAATGCTGTGTCTGCCCTTACTGCACTCTACAGGATTAAGGACTCAAACTGGTACTCTTGCCGTTTTCATCCATTTTTCTTTTGGAGGACCCAGGCATTGTGGGTCTTCCCTACATAGGCAGCTGCCTCAGCCGACCCCTTCCATCAGTCAGCTGTCTGACTGTGTGCCTTGCTGAGGAAGAAAAGATAGGGCAGAGCATAGTTTAGCCCTTCTGCATGACACCAGGGAAATCTGCAGAGAAGCGTTTGTTTCATTGCAAGTTCTGAGTTCTTTTTAGCAGGGTTAATTATTTCACTTGCTATTAAGGAAGTTGTGCAATTTGAGGCCGGGAAGATGACTTGGTAGTCATGGTGCTTACTGCACAAGTGTAGCAGCCAGAGCTTGACACAGGAATCCATGTAAAGATGGGAGGAGAGAACTAACTTTACAAATTTGTCTTCTGATCTTCACATACAGTGGATGCCCTCATACCCACACCATATACACATATAAAGAAGTTAATAAAATAAATAAATAAGTAGTGTCTACAAGTTGGCTCAGTTGGGAACCCGAGTTGTTTGATCCCTGGCACCAATGTGGTAGAAGGGGAGAAATGATGTGGGTATACACATCCACTCACAAAGAAAATTTTTTAAAAAGAAAGTTGCAAAATTTGTAAAATGTTTTTCTTTAATCCATACACTTTATTTAAATAATGCATTTATACCATTAATTTCCATACTAGCAAAGGCATTTCCTGTTCTCTAACCCTGCATTCTATTGCAGTTTCCTTTGATCTAGAATAGTTGCTCTGTCCCTGTTTTCCAAGACCAGTTAGTACAGACCCCTCAATTGTGTTTTGTCTAGTATTTCCTCATGGTGAGTCACAGCAGTGACATGGGACCTCTCGGGCTCTCTAGAGGCACATGTTCTCTCTTTGTGCCACTTTTGATGGTTTTACTTTGATGAGGGTGATACCACTGAGTTTCTACACTGTTTCCCCTCTGTGGTGAGTAAATACTTTATGGAGAGATAGTTTACGGCTGCACATGCTCTCTTGCTATAGTTTTGTCTAATTCGGCATTTATTGCTGGTTCTTTTTGTATAGAGAAGTTATTGTGATTGCCAAAGGATTTTAGGTCTTTAAAACAACGAAAGATTTTTTTATATTTTATTATTATTATTATTTGTAAGTAGAGACTGCTCTTTTGTTTTCCAGCTGCCCAGACCTGAATAATCACACAGAAATTATATTAATATCAACATCGTTTGGCCAATGGCTCAAGTGTATTTCTAGTTAGCTCTTAAATCTTAAATTAACTCAATTCTATTCATCTGTGTATCACCATGTATCATCACCACAAGGCTGTGGCTTACTGGGTAAAGTTCTGGGCGTCTTTCTCCTTCAGCAGCTACATGGCATCTCCTTGATGCCGCCTAATCTCTGTTTCTGTGTTCAGATTTCCTGCCTGCTTTACTCTACTAAGTCATTGGCTGAAACAGCTTTATTCATTAGCCAATAAAAGCAACACATATACAGAAGAATATCCCACATCAATTTTTTTTCTTTTTTTTTCAAGACAGGGTTTCTCTGTATAGTCTTGGCTGTCCTGGAACTAGCTCATTTAGACGGGGCTGGCCTAGAACTCAAGAGATTCCCCCTGCCTCTGCCTCCCAAGTGCTGAGATTAAAGGCGTGCACCACCACTGCCTGGCTTAAGATTTGTTTTTTTTTTTTTAATTGCATATGTGTGTGTTCACTTGTTCATCAATACACATTTGAGTGTAGTTGCCCAAGGAAGGCAGGAGAGGTGTCCAGATCTCCTGGAGCTGGAGTTGTTAAGTTGCCTGATGTGGGTGCTGGGAACTGAGTTGTAGTCCTCTGCATAAGCAGTAAGTGCTTTTAACTTTGAACCATCCCCTCCAGTACCACTTGACGGTATTTTCTTACATGGCAAACCAAGACTAAACTTTAGTTTCAGTGTGAGGAATTTGATTATAGATTGTTTTCTAAATCCATTTCAAATCTCACGAACCTGGACAATTTCCTGGATGGTGTGCTGGGTGTGGAAGGAGCTCCACATGTGTTCTGTGTGTGCTGGGTGTGGAAGGAGCTCCACGTGTGTTCTGTGTGTGCTGGGTGTGGAAGGAGCTCCTCGTGTGTTCTCTGTGTGCTTGGTAGGGAAGGAGCTCCACGTGTTTTCTGTGTGTGCTGGGTGTGGAAAGAGCTCCACATGTGTTCTGGGCCGGCCTTGCCCTGGCGAGCGCCTTGCTCTGTACATGTTTGACTACCTGAAAACCCATTCAGGGCTGCACCTCTAGTGTTTTTTTTAGAAATAGGGATTTCTTTGAGGACACTGGTATTGTAGTTTGGTTTCTTTTCATCTCGCTGTTTTAGAGGTTGGGATTTTATAATGCTGATTAGGAGTTTTATTTCGAGATCTGTCCTTTCCTGTCATAGTCTATGACAAATGAGATTGCTTTAGAAATACTGTTTTTAGCACATGTGAAAATAACATTTTTCTCAATTGTCTTTTTTTTTTTTACTGTGATACATATGTAAAGCTATGTTTTGGTAAATTCAAATGATTTATTTTGAGTTTAATGAATTCTAATTAAAAGAAAAACCAGTAATTTATATCCTGTATAACTGAAAGGACAGTTGGGTCATCTCTGCTGTTCTGACATGGACTCAGGAAGACTCCAGTGCTGTGCT